GGCCACTAACAGTACTTTATCGCCTTAAGGAGATGAAAACAAAAATAGAAAGGAAATCGCAAGTCTTTAAGATGGACAAGAGCACTGGCTTCTTGGCAAATATACATACATATGTACACAAAAATTAAAAGCGTTTAAAAAACGATATATGTACATTAGAGCGGTCTACATTTGTATGGAAATTTTTAAGGTCCTACTCTCACCCGCCTATACGGTGCGCATTGACGTACCTTAAAGGTACACCAACAACATTTTTTTTTTTTTAAATCGAGTTTTAGGGTCTGGGTATTTGCTACAAAGTTCATCACCCATACGCACTGCTGCCCTTAATAAAACGTTTTTTTTGTTTTATTGTTCCAACCAAATTTATAATATTTATATTTTATTGTTCCAACCAAATTTATAATTTGACAAGACTAGAAATGGAAGAACGATTTTTTACGAACAAATTTTAACTGTTACACGTTTCGTTTGTGTAATAGTTATAAAAACTTTGCGGATGTTTTGCAAGGTCTAAATGCGGGAAAACATTTTTTTAGTTTTTACATATATTTTTTTCTTACTTTAATCTACCATTTTAAGGGGTGAGAATTGGATTTCATTTTTTTGACCGCCCTAATGTACATATGTATGTATGTATATAAGCGAAGCAGCAAGCCGTTTACAAATTTGTTTTGTTTGCATTTCATGTTTATAGCTTTTAGGTCGTAAATTACACGCGTTTGCTTTCCTTCTGCTTTGCGTGTTTACTTCATTGAGAACCCAAACGAAAAGTCAATAGACCAGGCGCGGACCTAAGGTAGATAAAAAGATATACTTTCTCAAATTAACACCAATTTCGTAAAAAATCACTCAACGGGGCTTCCCATCCAGAACGATGAAGATCAGGTTTCTTTTCTAGTTTTGTTTTATTTTTGTTAAATATGCGTACAAAAAAAACTTTTTGAGTATCACAACGTGAGCACCCATCAGTGGCGGATCTAGGATTTATATATCACCCAGATCACCCTCCGTGGATCCGCGCATGGCACTAATCTTCGTTTGTTTCCCAAAAAATTGCAATTAAAGCGTTTTTTTATATCCCAAGCAGGGGCGGATTAAGACAATTCGACTCCCAAGGCAGTTTTGATTTTTCCGCCCTAGACTGCAGCCTAATTTTCGCCTAGGTATTTTATGTTGGGTTAAAGGGGGAGATACGTATACGGGGGTGTCACAGAAATCCATTCCAACCGAATTTCCTCCGAATAGCAAATCTTAGTGTCACAGACGTTATTTTTGACGGTTTCTAAATCGCCCGTATTTTGCCGGACGTTTTGATAAAATTACCCAACTTACAAATGTTTCCCAAAAATATAACTTTATTTAAGACAACTCTAATGAATTTTATGAACTACCTGCATACTATGATTTTTATACCTATTTCAGGTTATATTTAAAAATATGCTTTTTATAAAACCTCTCGAAAAAATTAGCTAAAAAAAATCCGTCGGCAAACCGTCTACCTGGCAGTGTTACCAATTAGCTAGAATTTTAATACCAAATTTGTCCAAATTTCGGAGTTAGTTATCGAAATGTTTTGTTAACGAATTATTTATTCAAAGGTACTTAGTATTGTAGTTAAAAATTAAACTAATTTCTGGTAAAAATTGTATGGTAAAAGCAGTTGTGGGTATTGAGAAATTAATAAAAACAGGCCGCCTTTGCAAAAAGTTGGCATCACTGTCGTGAAAAAATGTCTTATTTTTGCCAGGTAAAACGCTGGCTGTGAAGAAGAAGAAGACATGTAAGTAAAAAAGTACAACATTTTTGTTTATTATTAATTTAAACTAATAAGCTTTGCCAACTTTCATGGGTAAACATAGGTTACCAGCGCAAGACACCGTATTCTTCCGATTCATTCGCGATAATATCGACATTGCCAAAGGATTTACTCAGGGCGGCCGCATTCTTGTGAAAGGACCTGGCCAATGAGTTAAATCTCCATGGTAGTCCATGTAAAAACGTTTGTAAGGATCTCCTCTGCGTCCTAGCCTCTCGCAGTTTATGCCTTCGCAAGTACTCTAGAGCAGACGGCATTTTGGTTCGCTTTTAAAATTCTTGCCAACTTAGAAATGAAAATAAACCAACGCAGCCGCGGCAAACCGTTGTTCAGGGCTGCAATATGTAGCCTGACGGGTAATTCAAATTTTTAATTTTTTTCCTTTATTATGTACAACATGCGCTTTAAACATATACAGGGGTGTTACAGAAACCGTCGACGGTTTTGGTTTCTAAACCAACCGACCAAAACCGTTGGTGTCACAGGAATTCGAGAGATTTCCTTTTTTCGGAAAATTTACCGAAAAACGACCAGGGCTGGACGCATACTCTAAATATCGAATATTCAATAATTATCGAATTTTATTTGACTTATTTGGACTATTTTCCAATAAGTTTTAAACTTAATTTATGTTTTTCTTTCAAAATTACAAAAAGAATATATATGTTTAAAAATTTGAATTACCCGCCAGGCTACATATTGCAGCCCTGAACAACGGATTGCCGCGGCTGCGTTGGTTTATTTTCATTTCTAAGTTAGCAAGATTTTTAAAAGCGAACTAAAATGCCGTCTGCTCTAGAGTACTTGCGAAGGCATAAACTGCGAGAGGCTAGGACGCAGAGGAGATCCTTACAAACGGTTTTACATGGACTACCATGGAGATTTAACTCATTGGCCACGTCCTTTCACAAGAATGCGGCCGCCCTGAGTAAATCCTTTGGCAATGTCGATATTATCGCGAATGAATCGGAAAAATATGGTGTCTTGCGCTGGTAACCTATGTTTACCCCTGAAAATTAGCAAACCTTATTAGTTTAAATTAATAATAAACAAAAATGTTGTACTTTTTTACATGTATGTCTTCTTCTTCTTCACAGCCAGCGTTTTACCTGGCAAAAATAGGACATTTTTTCACGACAGTGATGCCAACTTTTTGCAAAGGCGGCCTGTTTTTATTAATTTCTCAATAACTACAACTTCTTTTACCATACAATTTTTAACAGAAATAAGTTTCATTTTGAACTACAATACTAAGTACCTTTGAATAAATAATTCGTTAACAAAACATTTCGATAACTAACTCCGAAATTTGGACAAATTTGGTATTTTAAAGTGCTAGCTAATTGGTAACACTGCCAGGTAGACGGTTTGCCGACGGATTTTTTTTAGCTAATTTTTTCGAGAGGTTTTATAAAAAGCATATTTTTAAATATAAATAGGTATAGGTATATAGGCAAGTACTCTAGAGCAGTCGGCATTTTGGTTCGCTTTTAAAAATCTTGCCAACTTAGAAATGAAAATAAACCAACGCAGCCGCGGCAAACCGCTGTTCAGGGCTGCAATATGTAGCCTGGCGGATAATTCAAATTTTTAAACATATATATTCTTTTTGTAATTTTGAAAGAAAAACATAAATTAAGTTTAAAACTTATTGGGAAATAGTCCAAATAAGTCAAATAAAATTCGATAATTATTGAATATTCGATATTTAGTGTATGCGTCAAGCCCTGGTCGTTTTTTGGTAAATTTTCCGAAAAAAGGAAATCTCGCAAATTCCTGTGACACCAACGGTTTTGGTCGGTTGGTTTCTAAAGCAACAGTCCCCAAAACCGTCGACGGTTTCTGTGACACCCCTGATTAACTATTCACGGATTCATATCAATATTTGTAATTGTTATTATTTTGTATCGTATTGGTATACATTACTTTTATTTTGAAAAATTGATGAGTACAAATTGAGAAGACAATATCAATCGGGTACTGTTCCGTTTTTTTCTCTGAGTCAGAAAACAAGAAATAATACAAATTATAAAACGGAAAAGCTATGTTCGGCCTGCCGAAGCGTATCATTGCAGATCATTCCTTCCTATGGCGACTGTAATATATTGTCTTCCGATTTTTTTAAAATTAAATTCGAAATTCAGAAATGTTAAAAAAAAGTTATTCCCAAGAGTAGATGGTAATATTTCAAAAAACACAGAAGCTAGAGTTTTTTTGCCTTTTTTTCCGATTTTTCCGATTCGGTCGGTTCCGACTTATATACTGCCTCCAATAGATAGAAGACTTTTGGGAAAGTTTCATACCGATAGCTTCAAAACTGGCAGTCTAGTTTGCCGGACAGGGGTCGGAAACGTTTCCTTCACTGCGTTGCAAACTTCTGACTGAAATCATAATACCCTCTGAAGGGTATAAAAACTGTGCCATTGAGAAAAAAATTAGGCGTATTTTCGTGATCTAGGGCTCCAGCACTAACAGAAAAAATCGTCCAAAATCAAAAACCACATTTAAAAAAACGGCACACAACTTTAGTGGCAACATTTTGATTGTAGTCTTGGGACGGCACTAAAAACCTCTCAAGAAATAATTCATGTTTATCAATCATTTCCGACAGCAACATAGTTAAATCTTTTTAATGAAATCGCTAAACGTACTAGCTATTGATGATGATACCGTTCGGCGGGAAATTCGGTAAAGAATATAAATAATTAAAAATATGGATACATTTTGCATTACTTGTCTCCTCAGCTTAAGTTTTTGTAAAATTCGTTTTTTCCACTTTCTCCGTAATTTTTCCTAAAAAAGTTGCCTTTTGAAAAGTATTAGTACCAATTTTAAGGGGATAACAGTACCTTTCAATCTGTGTACCATTTGTTTGGACTATCGTAGCAGATTTTTAATTTTGCGGCTATATAAAGTAGTCTCCTTTGTTACTACGTGGACTGCCGTCCACAGTGAAATTGATTCCATTAATTTAGCCCTGCGTTAGCCTACAAAATTATAATTGTTTTCCGCCTAACTGTTATAACATTTTAGGTCTTATTGTAAATAAAATATGGGGGCGGGTCCAACAGCTTGATCCAAGCGTTAATATTTTGGTAGCAAAACTAGCGTAGTCTGCCAACCAGAAATAGGCTAAGTCCAGGGTAAGTGGTATTTAGTAAATAAACATGCTGGCACTTACCAAAACATTTTTCTGGTTCTCCTTGTCCAGCAAAAACTCCATGCTCTTGTGCGGTCTGCGAAAGGATGCTAGTTGGACGCCACATCCTCCTAAGGAGGACTTGACTGCCTGGCCATCAATTTCATTCACATTGTTGTCACTAGTCGTATTCAGCCGCTTCACGATGTATCGCTTGTGGGGCAGACTAAGTGGATGGCCAGTTATGTCCATTAGGGAACGAGTCGTTCCCGAAATAACCGTTTCCTGAGTGTCCAGATTGGTCTCGATCAGACCCATCTTGCCTATCTCTTTCATGGGAGAAACATCCACAGGTACGGCGGTAACCACGGTAGGCCCAGAAACATGACCGTTTTCTCCACTTTGGTTAAACATATGTGTATTCTGGCTGACGTATGCCAACGGGGTCGACTCTCTGTCCCGCATCCTCGACGCTTGAATGCCCGCCGTTAACTGGTCGGGAAACTGTTTGTACTGTTCCCGTTTGGTGCTAATCAACGCCTCTGTGCCATGGGCAGCACTGACGGTGCCACTTGCAGCATCCTGAGGCGCATGCGCCAGGATGCCACTGCGAGGTGGCAGCTTGGGCAACGGCGGTTTGCCGGTCACTTTTTTCTGGGTAGATGACTGGTCTAGCTTTTCCGACTGCTGGCTGCAGTGGACGTTGGCAGAGCTTGCCTCGGAGGGCACACTATCGTCCAGTTGGATGAATGTCGGAATTCTCGGCGGCTTCACAGAGATGTGAACAAAGTCAGCCCATCTGCCTTTGCCCGTGATCTGCCTTGACTCTTTTCCGGGAGACACCTTGACCACTACCGATTGCATCTGGTCTCGCTGCTCTTTCTTTTTGCGACGCAGCGAGAAGCGCAGTCCGTGAGCAAACTTCGAGAGGAAACCTCTGGAACCGGGGTGTTTGTCATCCGCTCTATCGACAGTAGAGATTGCGCTAGCCAGCGGCATCTTGTGAATCTGCCGATCCTCCGGCTCGTAACGCTGCAGCAGATGCTGGGAGGCGTACAGAATATTATGGGCGCGGTTGGTCGGCGGCTTGTTGAGGATTGGCAGGGTGAGTGGTCGTAATTTAGCAGCAGCATATGTCGCAGCACTGTGAGGTGCTTCGTCTATCGACGAGTTCGCGACGGCGTGACGTTCATGACTGACTGGGCTGCTTATTTCTAGCTCGTGGTTCGGATCGACCCCATCTTCGGCTTTTTGATTACGACTATCGAGAGCGGCGAAGCTGTCTTTATTTTTGGAGCCAACGCTCTCTTTAAATACCAAATTAAGGTTTGATGCGTATGTTGGCATGGTTGAGAGAGGCGTTGTAGGAAGAGTTGTATACTGGAAAAAGAAGAAAATTTAAACTAGAAGCGAGTGCGTAAGTGGATTAGAGAAACATATTTCAATTAATTCAACTTATTAATAACAATAACCCCTTTCACATCCTTGCAGTGCCAAGGGCCATATAAATAAGGGCACGAAAAGGAATATACACATCGACTTTTAAAACCGTTTTACCTTATCAGGTGCTATACAAATCCTTTCCATATCCTAAGGACTCGGTTGACCTTAAAAATTCATGGATTTAGGGGTATTTGCCTTTTACATTATTTAATATAAACATTTTTAGTTAAAGCTAAGGTATTTAAACGATTTTATGATACAAATTTTGTATGATGATTTGAAATTTATTAAATTTTTTTTACATTTTGATAGGAAATCATAAAAACAACAAAATTGAATTTATAAAACTTATACGTTTTTAAAAATCTTAATGATGGTTTCTGTTCTTGAGCCTAATACTCAGTTCGGCTAAGAGATTCACTAGTCGACAATATTATTCTTTTGTAGTGTGGGCCGCGGCTAAAGCCTAGTACTCAGTACGACGAAAACTGCTAGCTAAGCATAGGAGTAAGCGAGAGGCAAATAGGTAGCTAAAGCCTTTAGCTGGGACTTTTTTCCACCGCGGTACTCAGTTGAGCTAAGGAAATAGTAAGAAAATACCACAAAAATACTAGATTTATCGGATGAATTCTGATGAACGCCTTTAGCCGCGGACCAAAGAACAAAAAAATTGATCTTTGGCTGTGTTTGTGCAGAAGAGGTTTGCCAATAACAATTTATAAATGGAAGGAAAACCACAAAAACCAATGGAAAACCGCCTGTAGGAGTTGCTGCAATACATATCGCCATTCTAACAGCAAATCTAAAGGTTGCGACCCAGGTCGGCTCAACGTTTTGTAATATTTTGAAATTCGCGCCAGTTGATTTGTTTGCTGAGAGTAAGACCATGCTACATGCATTTCGGATGAACACCGAAAACTTCGGACACACTAAAAGATTAATATTTTTCGACTTGTAAAACTCTTAGGGCCGGTTTCTCGAGTGCCGGCTAACATTTCTCGAACAGATAAAGTCCCTGCTAAGGCATTTTGGCTTTCTCGAGCATAAATGTGAGAGCTAAATTTGACAGGGACTCGGAGTCCCTGTTAAGCGTTTTCGACTCGATAGAATGACAGCTGATTTCCCAAAGCCAACTATGAAGAAGAAACAAAATCACAGCTGACTTTTCCTTTAAATTATACCCAAACAGCTGATGAAATAATCGAAGCATGCCATTTTTTGCGCTTCACAGCACAATTCTGTGCGTTAACAGCACTCTGTAATTGTTTCTCGTTCAGATAAATTAAAGCAGTCGAGAAAGCGGATTTGCTTTTACGAACAGTTTATCTGGTATTTAAGTTTTTCGAACAGATAGCTATCAGGGACTTTGACAGGGACTCGAGAAACCGGCCCTTAGCCGAACTGAGTACTAGACTTAAAGCAAAGAGTATAAATATATAGAGAGGACATGTCATACAAAAGAGTCTGTCGTATGGCGGGTTCTAGCGGTGGAACCCGCATTTTAACAGTAGAACCCGCACTGCTCGATTCTACTTGGAATCTATTCGGCCGCAGCACTGCTAGCCATTTGGCCCAGTGGATAAGACATCTGACTACCAATCTAAGCGGTACGGGGATCGAATCCCGTTGTAGAATTTCAATTTCTTGCGGGGGTTTTTTTTTTTTTTTGTTTTTTAAGAGTATTTTGTTTTTTTTCTATTTTGTAATTTTTTTGTTGATTTTTTCTATAAAAACTGTTAAGATGGATTTAATTCAAACCTTTTGTATATTATTGAGTGTTATTTAAATAACATCGAATAATTTCTTTACCACCGCCAAAAATTATTGGATTTCCATTTTTACATTTGTTTTTACATTTCGCTTAAGAATTAAAAAAAACCAGCCCTTAGGAAGCCCGTTCTTTACTTTTTTAATTTTAAGAATTTTTTTTTGATTTTCCAAAGTTAAGAATGCGTTTTTCAGCTAAAAAATTTGAATTTGGGCTTAACAAAAAAATTTTTGAAGTTTAAAAAAAAAAAACGATTCCCTGGGGGCGGGTTTTTTTATGCAGAAAAATATGCGACAAATTTAAAAACGATCGGTTGAGCCGTTTAGAAATGCCGATGAACACGGACTTTTAAAAACGTGGTTTCGAGAAAAACATGTCATATGGGCACTTCCAAAAAAAAGTCCACCAAGCCAAAAACCTTGAAACTTGAATAAAACATATTTCCCCGATATTAGTTTCTAATTAGTTGGATACTGAGCTTAACTACAAGTTTGGAGTATAGTTTGATTATTTTTATGACAAACCCGACCAATATACGCAAAAATCAGTTTTTGGCTATTTTTTTGTTATTTTTTGGACTTGTCTTCTGTTGTTAATTTATCCTATAGGAATGCTAATATGTGACATTTTTCTGTACTGAATGCTTCATTCACATGCTAAACTATTAAGTTAAAAGCAAAACATCCAGCAATTGAGAGATAGAGGTAAAGAAATCCGCTTTACAAAACAGTCGGAAAAAATGTCCCGAGCGAATGTGGTTGAAACTGCATAAAAAAAAAACGGCAAAGAATTTTTGAGCAAAACAAAAAGCATTTCACAGCGACATGCTTAAACAACATTCTAAAAAAATCGCATTCAAATGTTCCATCAGAATTCGCTAATTTCTGGTGTTGTATGAACTTCCCCGAAATCCACTTCTATTTTTGTCCCGAGCGAATACGGCAGTTTTTTACCGATATCTTAAAAACTAAGTGGTACAAAATCAAGATTTTTACCAAAAATAGAGCTTGGGAAGAGTGAAAAGAAAAGCCCATAATTAAAATTAAAATCCATTGTTTTACAATTTTTTTTCAACTTTAAAGGTGTGCAAATGTCCCGAGCGACATTTTGGAAGTGCCCATATGTAAAACACGTATAGAGCACTTTAAAAAGACGTTTTGCGGTGTTCACTGTATCTCCGCCAAAAATTACATTTCGTTTAAGAATAGAAAAAACCCGCCCTGGGAAGTTTTATTTTTTTTTTTTACTTTAAATATTTTATTAAGCCGTGCAAAATCAAAAATTATTTTTTTTAGAAAAATTTTACTAGTACTAATTACATCCTAGCTTCCAAAGTTCTTTTAGATTGACTTAAAACTTTTTTGTATAATCTTAAGATGTTAATCTACAAGAAAAGAAATATAAAAAAATTGTTTAGCTTTTAACTAAAATAATAAAAAAAGTATATATATTTCGAGACATCAAAAAAAGAAAAAAACAATATTAGAAAACGTCTGCCCCTTGCGGGGATCGAACTCGCATCAACATCGCTGATCAACGCTTTAACCAGCACGACCATAGACCGAGTTGAAAATGTTGGACAGAAAACCCTTTTCGACTTTTAAATGTTGTTGGCCCTAGATTATAGAAATTACAAAAATGAAATTTTCTCGAAAATGTGTTGCCACGTTCTCGCACACATACACACAAAGCCCACTTACACTTATGCATTGTGTACTCAATAAACGAATTCTAAAAATAGAACAAGCTCTTTCCCCCTTTTCCCCTTGCCGACAACAGTTTGAACAGAAAGTCAGAGTTATGCCCTCTCTATATAATGTATTCTCTTTGCTTAAAGCCTAGTACTCAGTACAGCCTAGTACTCAGTACGACGAAAACTGCTAGCTAAGCATAGGAGTAAGCGAGAGGCAAATAGGTAGCTAAAGCCTTTAGCCGGGGACTTTTTTTCCACCTCGGTACTCAGTTGAGCTAAGGAAATAGTAAGAAAATACCACTAAAATACTAGATTTAGCGGATGAATTCTGATGAACGCCTTTAAGCCTAGTACTCAGTTCGGCTAAGAGTTTTACTAGTCGAAAAATATTAATATTTTAGGGTGACCGAAGTTTTCGGAGTTCATCCGCAATGCATGTAGAATGGTCTTACTCTCAGCAAGCAAATTAACTGGCGCCAATTTTGAAATATTACAAAATGATTAGCCGACCTATGTCGCAAGCTTTAAATTTGCTGTTGGAATGAGAATATGTATTGCTGCAACTCCTACAGGCAGTTTTCCATTGGTTTTTGGGGTTTTCATTCTATTTATAATATGTTATTGGCACACCGCTTCTGCACAAACACAGCCAAAGATCAAATTTTTTATTCTTTGGGCCGCGGCTAAAGGTGTTCATCGGAGTTCATCCGCTAAATCTAGTATTTTAGTGGTATTATCTTACTATTTCCTTAGCTCAACTGAGTACCGCGGTGGAAAAAAGCCGCAGCTAAAGGCTTTAGCTACCTATTTGCCTCTCGCTTACTCCTATGCTTAGCTAGCAGTTTTCGTCGTACTGAGTACTAGGCTTTAGCCGCGGCCCAAAGAATAAAAAATTTGATCTTTGGCTGTGTTTGTGCAGAAGCGGTGTGCCAATAACATATTATAAATAGAATGAAAACCCCAAAAACCAATGGAAAACTGCCTGTAGGAGTTGCAGCAATACATATCCTCATTCCAACAGCAAATTTAAAGCTTGCGACCTAGGTCGGCTAATCATTTTGTAATATTTCAAAATTGGCGCCAGTTAATTTGCTTGCTGAGAGTAAGACCATTCTACATGCATTGCGGATGAACTCCGAAAACTTCGGTCACCCTAAAATATTAATATTTTTCGACTAGTAAAACTCTTAGCCGAACTGAGTACTAGGCTTACGGCGAAAACTGCTAGCTAAGCATAGGAGTAAGCGAGAGGCAAATAGGTAGCTAAAGCCTTTAGCTGGGGCTTTTTTCCACCGCGGTACTCAGTTGAGCTAAGGAAATAGTAAGAAAATACCACTAAAATACTAGATTTAGCGGATGAACTCCGATGAACACCTTTAGCTGTGGCCCAAAGAATAACAAATTTGATCTTTGGCTGTGTTTGTGCAGAAGCGGTGTGCCAATAACAATTTATAAATGGAAGGAAAACCACAAAAACCAATGGAAAACTGCCTGTAGGAGTTGCTGCAATACATATCGCCATTCCAACAGCGAATTTAAAGCTTGCGACCCAGGTCGGCTCAACGTTTTGTAATATTTTAAAATTGGCGCCAGTTGATTTGTTTGCTGAGAGTAAGACCATGCTACATGCATTTCGGATGAACACCGAAAACTTCGGACACACTAAAAGAATACGATTTTTCGACTAGTGAAACTCTTAGCCGAAGTGAGTACTAGGCTTAAAGGCGTTCATCGGAGTTCATCCGCTAAATCTAGTATTTTTGTGG